CCCCGCCGCTCCGTCCGCGCGTCCAGCGCTCGGCGGGCTCGCCCGGGAAGCCGCCGCCAACGGGAGGGCGCGCGGGAAGGAAGCGCGAGAGGCCGGGGGGGCCGTGAAGAGAAAAGCCACGGGGCACCCTACAAGGGGCTGCAGCTGGCTCCAAGGCGGCGCCGCGATGCCCTCAGCGGCCGAAGCGCGGAGCCTGAGCGCAGCCCGCGGTGTGAGGCACCGGAAGCGGCCAGTGCCGCGGCGCCGAGGCGCTTCCGGCCTCCTTCCGCGCGGTTCCCGGGCGCTCCCCGGGCGCGCCGGCCTTCGGGACGTGCCTCCCGGTCTCCCAGCCCGCCAGGGTATTCCACCAAGGCCCGAAAGGCGAGGTGCCCAGAGGAGATCCGCAGAGTCTCCAGCTGAGGATTCATTTTTCTTTCTTTTTGTGGGAATGTGATTGCTAGACTCCCACAACGGAGTCAACGTTTCCAAGGGCTCGCGCACCTACTATTAAACAGTCCTCAGAAGAAGCCTGAAAATAAACAGCAGACATCACCAGTTAGAGAAGTAACTTGGCACGACGTAACTGACACGACCTAGTCACGGTCCCCGGTGTAGTGCAAGTCCGCAAAGCAGGGGAAGCTTACCAACAGCCCGTCCAGGGGGCTTGCTGACCCCACCAGAGCCCGCACACCCCGCGCGGGGACCAGATGGCCTAAGGACTGGATGGCCCAAAGACCCCTTCGAGGCTCTGCAAGCTCCCCCCACCCCTCCCAGCTTCCATAGCAACAGAATGCGGCGTGCATCGCTGACTAGCCAACCTCAGATGGTACGAGTGGTTTGGACGTGCTGTGAGCCAACCCTGAAGGCGGCTAGGTGGTGGCTTTGATATGTGATTGAGCTATCGCTGTAAAATGGCTTGGGTAAGACCCACAAAGCTCTTCCTGAGGATGCTTCAGTCTCACTTTGGTCCTCCTAGGCTCCAAGTTTCCCACTCGAGCCTCTTACTGTAGCTTCACCGGACTTCTGCCAGACTCCATTGTCGTACCTACATGATCCCTTCGAAGAGAGATCCCCAGAGCCACATACTGTTACAGCCTATGCCTGCTTGATGTATGGGAGGTTAATACTTATTGGAAGATTATTGTGAATTCTTGTATTATTGAAAAACATCTCGTGTTTCAGTCTTTATTGAATACCTATGCTGCCACCACAATCTTACGACCCAAGCAGGACAGCAACTAACCTATCCATATATCCTCTCCAAACAGCCATTTCAGGTACATGTTTGTAAATCTTTGCGTGTTAATTTACTCAGATGCCAAATTGGAAAAATGCCTGACATACAGAAAGAATGGTGTAAATGGTCGTCGTTGTTTTTATTTACATTGTAATCTGCTCTGCAGCTGCAACCACTCTTGTCTATGGTTGCTTTCTCTATCTTGGTATTTTTTGGAGCCTCTATCCTGATTCTTCCAAAGTGCCCAGAACTAAAACAGGAATGTCAATGGACTGTTAAAAGGACAATGTAAAATTGTAGTCTTACATACACCAAGGAATACAAAGGAACCACACCAGAGTGAAAGCTCTCATTTCCTGACTGTTGGACAGACAGGACTTTGGGAGAAACAGTCTGAATAACATGAAAGTGATGCTGCCCTCTAGGGGAAGGTGACTTAGGAAGGACTATTGTCTAGATTTGAGTATGAACACAGTTGAAGGAGATTCTGACACGGTAACTGAAGACACTGAAATCTGTGGCTTTGGCACAGAAGGGAAACTCATTCTTCATTGCCCTCAGAATGCTGATGAAATACTCAGAGGACAGTACTGAACTCCTCAGAAGAGGCTTTGTTTGTCCACTGAGGATGATCAGAGTATTGATGAATCTACTCCTTGCATATCACCTGTTGCACTCCCAGTTTCAGAAAATGATCAGAGGGCTGGGAAGATGGCTCAGTGGTAGAGCGCTTGCCTTGCATGTATGAGGCCCTGGGTTCGATTCCTCAGCACCACATAAGCAAAAAGAAAAAAGCCGGAAGTGGCACTGTGGCTCAAGTGGTAGAGTGCTAGCCTTGAGCTGAAGAGCTGAGGGACAGCACCCAGGCCTAGAGTTCAGGCCCCACGACCGGAAAAAAAAAAAAAGATCAGAGTTTTGAAATGACCATGATTAAAACCACTGTGACAAGGAGTCAGATTTTACAGAATGAACGACTAGATGAACTGACTGCCTTGAGTAATAAGGAAGTATCAGCATTTAGCCAGGCATGGTTTACAACTAAAGGAGATAAGAATTCTCTAACAGAGGACATAAATGGAAGCAGGGGACGTGGACCAAAGAAGAAATTGATATCTTGATGAGCAATATAAAATACTATCTAAACGCATATGAAATGACAGGTGCTGCCGGAATCATCTTTGAGATGTTAAAGGACAAAAGATTTCTACAAGGCTGGGAAGGTGGCCCAGTGGTAGAGTGCTTGCCTTGCATGCATGAGGCCCTCAGTTCGATTCCTCAGCACCACATAAGTAGAAAAAGCCGGAAGTGGAGTGCTGAAGAGCTGAGGGACAGTGCCCAGGCCCAGAGGTCAGGCCCCACAACTGGCAAAAAAAAAAAAAAAAAGATATCTAAAGCATGGGGCCTGAACCAGCCTTCATTTACAGTTTATAGAAGAGTGCTCAAGGAGTTCTGAATAAGCATAGCAATGATTAGGCAACAACAGAGGCAGCACTAGGAAGCAGCTCATCGTCTGTCAAAGGTCAGTGCAGACTGATGAAGGATACTAGCAACATGGGGAAATGGACAGAAGATGAAGGAAAGAGACTTGCAGAGGGCTTCATAAATAAACAAGTACTGAGCCAGGTGACTTAGTCACACAAGGAGTGTCTTGGGCAGCTGTGGCTGAACGAGTGGGTACCCACTCAGTAGAGCAATGTTCAACTACCTGACCTGGAAACAGAGTAGGGATACTGAATAGACAAGGAAGTTGAAATCAATCCCAACCTTAGGATAGCAGACCTTGATGTAGCTGATGAAAATGACATAAACTGGGATCTATTAGCTGAGGGATAGAGCACGATCCATTCACCACAATGGCTTTGAAGTAAATCCTGGACATCAAAAAGCAAATGGCAAACTATAAGGATGTTTCAGTCCCTGTCTTAATAAAGGTCTTAAACAATTACATGAGAACAACAACAATAAAAAACCAACATCCAGTGCTTTTTGAAGAATAAATCAGGATCTGGAGTTCCAAACAGTAATTCCAATTCCAGTGTACAATATGTGCAGATCAGAGTCAGGTAATTCAGCCATATCACCAAGTCCTGTGACAGCATTGCAGATTCCAGTCCAGATTATCCATGTCTCTTCAACAGACTCTCCTGCTTCTACCATTAACCTAGTAACAGTAACATTAAACAGTGGAACACTACAGACATTTAACATTCTTCCATCTTTCCATTTGCAGCCCACCAGCACTCTACCTACTTCAAACAAGCTCAAGTCAAAGCCTTCCCCTAACTCTGACTGCTACTCCCATAGTAACCCTGACTGCTGCTGCTCCTGCTTCTCCTGAACAGATCATTCATTATCCATGCTTTATCCCTAGAACATCTGTTGAACACAAGTGACAATGTCACAGTGTACCATCACACACCAAGAGTCATCATTCAGACTGTTGCTACAGAGGACATCACTTCTTCCATACCCCAAACCAAACTGTTGGTGATACTCAGTCATCTGATTTTCATGAACCTCCAGATGCACTAGACACAGACAATTTCCCAGTTGAAATTCATCAGCCTAAGATGACAATACGGCTACCATTTAATGATTCATGTATCCAAATTCAGTAACCAAAATAGCACAGAATTGATAAATAGTAGTATGGTCAGAACAAAAGAAGAAATCTCTATCACTGACCTTAAACAAGAAGAATCATCCACTGAGTTAGCCAGTTCTTATGTTACTAAGGATTTAGTCTCCTACCATAGTAGAACAAAGTTATCAAACAAGTGATGATTAAACAATAATTATTGTTCGTTCACCTCATGTCTTTATCCAAGCATCTGATCTCACTGATACTGACTCTTTCTTGCCTTTGACAACACTAACAGATCCCATATTCCAACATCACGAGGAAGAATCAAATATCATTGAAGCATTCCTGTTTCTGAAGACTCAAAAGATGTTGAGGAGCCGGGTGCTGGTGGCTCATGCCTGTAATCCTAGCTAGAGAAGGCTGAGATCTGCCAGCCCGGGCAGGAAACTCTGTGAGACTCTTTTCTCCATTACACTACTAGAAAACCAGAAGTGGCATTGTGGCTCAATCGGTGGAGCACTCATCTTGAGCTAAAGAGCTCAGGGACAGCGCCCAAGCCCAGAGTTTAAGCCCCACAACTGACCAAAAAAGAAGATGTTGAGGAGTTGGTGAACTATCATTAGGTAATTCTTAGAAACAGGTAGTTTTGCAAAGAAATCATTCTATGAAGTTACACTATCTCCAAAGACAGGTGAGCAATCTTCAAGAGATTTAATTCAACTGTTCTTTTGGTTTATATGTAACTACTATGTTTAAGCTATGTACGCATGTTGTTGCTATGACTTTTTGCCTCCTCTTAAGTTTGTCATTTGAGGTCTAGTTTTGTGACAGGATGTACTTGAGGGGCGAAATATTAACTGTCATCTTTG